AATTATAAGAGATAATTTATTTATAGTTGAAAATTATTTATGAAAAATGGAGTACAATTATATATTTTAATATGTTTATGTCATATACATATTAGTGTAAAGAAATTTTACACTATAAATTTATTTACTTATTTTTATATGTAATTTATTTTATTATGAAAAATTACAAATTTGATATTTTGTGAAAAATGGTACGAATATTTTTATATGTCCTTATAGTAAAAATTTCTTTACTCTATAATATAGAGGATTGTTACTTAAAATAAGTTATCACGTCAATTAACCATATTTGTTGTAATATATTAATATAATTCTTTTAAACAAACATCACGTAAATCAATTTTCTAAGTCTTAACAAATCATTAATTTAGAATTATCTTTAGACCTATAAAAATCATTAGTATGTTGTAGAAATAAAAATTTATTCGACATTTGTTTAATAGATATTTTTGATTTAATGAAAATTTTACACCATATAAAAAAAATCTATACGAAGTGTAATATCTCATTAAAATAGGCTAATTATTAGTCTATACTATTGAAAATGTGAGTCCATATTAAATATCACATCATTAGGATACATATGACATTTTAGGAAAATATATTTGATTGTTTTGTCATTACACAGTATTTCTTGATATTATAACGTAGAAACAAACATTTAAGAATCTTTATGAATTGACAAATTTACCTTTGGTCTTCTTCAACTTGGCTCTTCTATACAATAGAAATTTGTAAGGATATTATATGAATTAGAAAAAACCTATAATTTGAGAAAATTAAAGTAGATTCGATATAATCTCGATGTTATTTGAATTGACATAAAAATTGATCAGATCTACTTTTAAGTCAGTTTTGGACTTATACAAGTGCTTGAATATATAAAAATAACTTAAAATAAATTAAAAAGTTGATTGAGTTAAAAAATAACTTATAATAAATTAAAAATAAAAATTAACTTACAAATCAATCCAAATAGGCTCTTAAGACTCAACTCATCAACACATTAAACCATCTTGTAGGTATCAAATAGGCTGTTCTAACAAATTTAAATTAAAATAAGTTGAGTTGAAAAAATAACCAGACTTGTTTAAAAGATATTTGGATTGAAATGGGTCAGAATAAAGTGTGGGTCATACTTACCCCTCTTAATTTTTATTAAGTTTTAATTGCTTATAAATTCCTTTATTATGATATATGCAACCCATTAAATAAAAAAAATGATAAAATTTATTCATGGATCAATTTGGATTAATTATCGCCCTATTTTCATTGAACTAGAATAAATTGAATTATAAATGACATATGAATAACCTATCCCTTTTTCATTGTTTATTTAAATTAAGCTTTAAGATAGAGAATTTAATTACTATTTGGATGTTGTTGCATAGTGGATTGAGAATGATATACTCGTTTTGTTATACTCTTATATTCTTTTCTAGTCCACAATTAATTAGGTTCATCAATCGTTCGACAAGTTGAGTGCATAAACTTAATTAGTCTAATTTTAACACCACTGAGAAATTAATACTGTTGATGGAATATTAGTGTTTTTTTTCTTTTTCTTTTCTGAGTGACAAATAGCTCACTCTAGCCAGAATAAGGTTCTAATTACTAAATGACATTCATTTGACCATCTCACTTGCACTACTTAAATAAGAGGAATGTGTTGGACATGGACTAATGATATTTTGTAAAGAGTGGATAGTAATGACATAATATAACACTGTTTGATTAACAAAGTATTTCTTTTTTTTGATCAGTTGTTTTCTTAAATTTACAAAATTATCATTGTGTGTAATATTATCTTCTTCTAATTTTTTAAGGACACAGAAGAAAATAATGGGTTTGGAATAAATTTTATTTTACGTTAATAATTTATGATGTCCTTATTATATTTTTTTATTTTTTGAGAGATCGAAATCTTGTAATTTCCTACTTCTTTGTGACTTTCTATATGTTACTCGGAACAGATTGAGATTACCGCTGTGCACTACATGTTTATCTTTGAACAAGAATTTGTGTTTACATATCTTTATAATAATTGTATAAAAGTGTATTATGCATTAAAACGTGGAAGATTCGAATCACTAGGCAATTTACTCGTGAGGTTGTTAATAGTAGTATAACCCAGTCGAGAATATTAATTTAATTTACACATATAAGAATAACATAACGCGAATATATTAAACTGTCAAAACACACTTTTATTTATTTATATGGTAAATAAAAATCTATACGAAACACCAGAAAAAACCAAAAAGAAGAAAAGAAATTGACCCACCATAAATTAAGAAAAAACCATGTAATAATTCATATCCACCGTGGGAGATTGAGAAAATAAACAAATTAAAAATGACATAGGTAAAAATCCAGAAAAGAAATAGGAAGCAGAAAATAAAATTAAGGATAGAAATTATTAGGCCACACATTAGCATTATGATTATCATTAAAATTGGGCAAAATCATCTCATCTGCATGTCCATAACCAATATGCTGATCACTTGCGTTGCTGTTCATCCAATCAGTAAACCACTCTGTTTGTGTCCTCTGCATCGAATCCAATCCCAATTCCACCACAGCAGGCTTTTGCTCCATCGGTGGAGCAACTGCCTGCGATGCTACTGCTGCCGCAGCAACTGCAGCAGCAGCAACAGAAGAAGAAGAGGAAGTCGAAGCCCCCTTTTTAACTGCCTCAATCCTCTTATAAACCTCTTTCAAATTCTGATCAATTACCCATCCAAGGTCATTCAAATCTCCCAAATTCAAATTCTGAAGCCCTTTTCCAGTCAACCCTTGATACATAACTTCGGTCATTTCCTTTTCTCTGTTTTCCTTGCTCTGTTTCTTCAATTGCTCGCTCGCTTTAGCTATCCTCTGCCTTATGAAACTCTCTTGATTCACCATTTTCTTGCTCTGTTCCATCTCAGGCATCCTTTTAAACTCGGCGAGCACGCGTTGAGCTCCCATGGTGTTTGGCCATACTTCTGGTGAAGTGTCATAAGGGCTATAAATAATAGCACAAGCATCAATCCCACAAAGGGTGCTCAATTCACTCACCTTCTTCATCAGACCCTTCTTCCTTTTCTTGAATGTTGCTTTTCTTGCCGAGTCATTAGTGATGAAGGCTAATTTCACTTTCTTTCTTGTCATTTTTTTGGGATGCAAAGCAACAAATATGCAAACAAGATGAAAAAATAGGGTAGATGTACAGTTCTGTGTTCTTTAGTTTCTTGGAATGGGCATGTTATATACAAATATGAAGATGTTTCACTAATTAATATGGAAGATTTTGTATTTATTTGCATATCTGGAAGATGAATTGATGATCAAACATATTTGGAAAAAAATTTAGTGCCCAAATATTTTCAATTTTGATTGTCAATACAATTTTTTGGTTCCACCTGACCAGGGGTCCAGTTATAATATCTCAATTAAAAATTTACATGATATATTGTTATAGACGTGTTTATTAATTTTTTTTTAGAAAAATAATAATAATTACTAATTTTCCTGCAACCCTATCTGATATAGAAACATAAAAGATGAATAAAATAAGATTGTTAATAACATTTTTCAATGGAATTGTAGTTTAAAAGTTGTATCTAAAATCACCTCTTATAATTTAGTTGTTATTTATTTCATAAGAAAAAATCATTAGTTGAAATTTGTCACGACTTTTTCGTAGACTTAAATTCTATTTAATAAAAATATAGTGTGATATGTTCAATTTTCACATATCTTAATTCTTACGGACCATATGATGCATGTAAACATTTAAATGAATGAGTTTTATAAAAGGTTACTATGGTAAGCTTTAAAATCAAATTGTAACGGTCATCCTACGAGATCTCATGTAGTCATTCGGTACATCATACATGGACAAAAGTGAATTTGGAAATAATAGATAAATCATAAATTCCAAACACTAATTTCTTTTCTTATTCGAGGTCATAATTTTTATAGACAAATAGTAAGTTATAATCAAATGTATAGACTATAGACTAACAAAAGATATATACAGTGTGATGAAATTTAAATAATATCCCCTCCAATTTATATATAACTTTCACTTTTTTAAAATTATATTCATTAAACTATTTACATTTTCACTTGTCATATGTATTTCTCTCTATGCAACTGTTACTTAAATATTTTCTTTTATCAATGCTTTGTATTACAATAGTCAAATTAGTAGAATAAATTATGTTTCTAATCAAATTTCATTATATGTAGTAATATGATGTATTTCTCTCTTTGCAACTGTTAGTTTAATTTTTTCTTTTATCAATGATATGAATTACAATAGTCAAATTAGTAAGATAAATAATACTATCTAATCAAATACCATTTTATGTGGTAATTAGGGGTAGTTACAATCAATTTAACAAAAACAACTTAAAATGGCGATACACATACAATAGGACAAAACTATATGAGGTTTCAAACACTAATTTTGAACAAGTTCAATTGCCTGAAATAAACCTCGTAAAATAAAGGTAGCGAATTGACTGTTGCTATTATATTTCAAATAATCTTAGCATAACTTGTTCTCGAATCAAACAAGCCCAAAATCATTAACGGCCCGTGATAACGATATGGGCTGGTTCAGTCTGGGCCTTAAGCCTAAGCCTGTTGCCCGCTGGTTTGGACTTTGGATCGTACCATATTTTTTCACTAGTTTTTCCGCCATTTTCAGAGTTGGTTTAAAACCCTAGACGAAGAAATGTCAGTTCAAAATTTCAAAATCTTTCTGAAACAGTAGATCAACGCACCAATTTTGTCGTGGAAAAAGGTTAATTTCTCTGTTATCGTAGTATTCATTTTTATTTTTTTTGTGTGAAGAGTGTTTTTAATTATCATTTCTCATATAATTTAAGAATTTCCGTTTTTGTGGTGTTGACATTGCAGAGAAAAAGCCAATGAAAGTCAAGATTTTGCGTATCCTTTTGTTAATTATGTCACTGATTTGAAATGTTTAAATGAAGGATACGGTATGTATGTTGGTTGAGCAGTTAATTAGTGCAGTGAATTATAGCAACTGTTACTAAATCATTTCTGATATGAAAGATTATTTTCTGTCTAAATATGTAATTAGTGATTGGATATGGCTCATCTTGTGATCTTAGGATTTTAATATCATTGATTTCTGAATTTTGTTGGAGAATGTAGAGCCATTAAACTCCCCCAAATCAACTTTAGTTTGTGTTTCATCGATTGTTTCACTAAGGTACAGAAGTGCATATTCTGACTTTCTTAAGTAAATGGAGGGTAAGCCTAATGTTGCAAGTTTGTTAGTTTCTTTGACTGAAGGATATGTTGGCATGTTTCCTTGAGAATTGGCTGTATCAGTATATCATGAAGTTTCCCTTAACTTGATCTATTGGGTGTTTTGCTGGGATTGTGAATAGAGTATGTCCTCTTGATTGCATTTGGTATTTTTATTGTTGTCGGACTTAAGACTACATGGCATGGTTACTTCATCTTACTTTTGTTACTTCCTCGTGCATTGCAGATGGCATGCGGTTTCTTCATGGACATGGGATGCTCAGGATGAAACTTGTGGTATATGTCGGATGGCTTTTGATGGTTGCTGTCCTGATTGCAAACTCCCTGGTGATGATTGTCCACTAAGTAAGCCTGTTTATCTCTCCCTAATAGTTTTCTCAGGCATATAAGATATGGATCATCAATCACATGTAATCTTGCTAAGAGAAAAAAGAAAATGTGATTGTGCATTCATCACTTCTTTGACAAAACGTGAAAATTCCACCTGCATTAGTTTTCAAGGTTTACATGTTTCTACATTGATGTTACTCATGAACACAAGGAGAGCTATAAACTGTTGCTTGACAATATTTGCAGTCCTTCATAGTTGGTTTAATTTGTTTGATTTGGTGTGAGACTGGAGAATGATATAAAAGGTACAATATCTTAATGGATGGCAGGTGTGTTAATGAAAACTGCATCTAACATGCTGACAGTTATAAGAGTATACTTTGTCCTAGTAACATTGTTAGTTGCTGTAGAGAACTTTTCAATTGAAACTTGTGATACATCTGGAGGCTGGAGCTGTCCAATTATCCTCCATTACAAAAGAGACTTTCTCAAGACAACTTCTCCCTCTTTTGAATTTGTGGTTAACATAACTGAACCTTCTAAAATATAGGTTTAGAAAGATACTTTGAAGGTAATTGTCAATATAGGGTGTGTTATAACAGCTAACTGAGTATATTAATCAAATATTTTCACCATAAGCTGTCAACTAAAAGATACTACAAACACTTGTCACGGATGTTGTATTCTTTCAGAATCAGTATTAACATATTATGCATCTTCTTGATGCTATTAATTTAACTCTTACTTTGTCAAGAAATCCAAACATATTATGTGTCTCTGTGTTACAGAGCATTTCAGCGGCTTGACTATATCTTGCTGTGACTAGTTCATATTACTGGCTCAATTTTTTATATAGATTGGTAAGTATCCATTTGATTTTCCCTTGTGGTTAGAAGTTTGTGGTATTGAATCTATTTGTATCATGCGTCTTCCCATGAAGACTAATGTCTATCTACTCTGATGGAAGCTTGAATAATCACAGTGTATTAACATCAACCAACAACAACCTTTATGCACAATTATGCATGTTAGAAGAGATCAAAGTTGGGTTTCGGGACAAGGATAGTCTTTAAGTGCTGGTGTTGACTTGTATAAGTTCCCGTAAAGCAGGAGTTTTCAAAAATCACAACTTCTCAATAGTTTCCACAAAAAAGTTCTTATTCTCTCCTTGTTTGGATATGTAATTTCCATGAAGTTGGATAAGAAAAAGAAAAAGTAAGAATATATTATTGTGCTTATTCATGGAATAAAAGTATAAAACTACTTCCTCTGTTAGTTTTTTTAATCCTGCTTGCAAGACGACCAATCCTAATGGCCTAAGTTTATGGAAGAGAAGAGATGGGGATCCAGGGCTAGACTTTATTTCTTTGTAAGTTCAGTGGTGAAGACGTCTGGTTTTTCTCCAAATAGATTTTAGTTATGACCTTTTGACCACCCAGTGAGACTGGAAAGGATATACTATGGTGGACTTACTTATAGGGTTAATAAAAGAAAACAAATGTTCAACTAGGTTTTACTTGAGACCTTTTGGCCTTAAAGTTATTTGGCAAAGCTACAGTATTGGAACAGAGCTTCTTATAGGGTAAATAACGAGAAGACGGAAAACTCAACGAAGTGTAATTTGTGACCTCTTGGCCATAGTTTTCCTTCCAAACATTAACTACAATATGGCATTTCCATTCCAACACAAGTTGTTCACAGTAGATTTAATAAAGTAAAAGAAGGATAGAGAAGTGATATATGTAACAAGAATCCTAGACACTAGTCTGTATACACAAGAACAAGCAGAAGTTCTGTCTTGAAGTAATCTCCTCTCTATAGGCAATTTCTTGAAGAGCATAGACACTTTATTCTTTCTGTATCTGGACTGCTTCTCAATGAGCCAATATTTATCAGCATGAAACTTGAAGGGGTATTATCTCTAAATGGGGCCTTTATACGCCCACCTGTCAAGTAAAGTAGAAAAATGAATTAGATACTCTTCATAAATAGTAGAGTATATTGTTTGAACTCTAGAATATCTTTTAAGCAAATTGAGAGAATCTTCAAGCTGTTAGATCTGAGTTGAATGCTCCTCTAAACTAAAATGACAGAAGTATCTTTTACCCCTTTTCTATTTGGCAGTAGAAAGGATGAAATTTAAGAACAATTACCATAGGAAAGGAAGACCATTTGGTGAGGACTGGAGGGCCCAAAAAGCATAAAGAATACCAGGTATCCACCCAAGGAGAGTCAGCAAAATACAGATGAAGAATTCAACCTGTTTCCAGCACAGAAAAGAAAATTTTCAGAGAGTCAAGAGACCATGTGAAATCTGCACCATCTTTATACAAAAATTCCAATTTTTTAGAAGAAAAAGTAATTTTTTTACTGTCATTTGCATTGTAAACTCACAAATCCTTAGCCCTGGCCAGTGGCCACCCTTGAACCCCAAAAAGGAGAAAAAAGAGGAGGAAAAGGTAGTACCTCTCTAAGCCTCTAGAAGGCTGGTGCTATAAAAGAGCAGATGCCATGTTTTTACAGGCAATATTCAAGTTTTCGCCTGCAGTAGTTATAAGTTAATTGGAAGGAAGCCTTTTATTTAGTTGGTTTATGCATTTAAAGTAATCGAACTAGTGAATTTGGTTACTGAATGTCCAAAGCAGAAAATAAAAATAAAAATTACTGTAATATGAAATCAAGAAGAGAAAGTCGGGAGAAGGGAGTAGTACCTTACAACCGAACTTGCGGTAAGCAACAAGGGGAGGCAAGATAATTGCCAATAGAATGTCTAGGCATGTCATTTTGCTGTCTTCCATTTTCCCCTCTTCTTCTTCTCTTCTGTTCCTTAACAACTTCTGATAAAATGCTAATCAAACTCTAGATTTAGGAATGTCGATGGATTTTGAAAATGAGGAGGAAGTGGTTGCCCTATATATATATACATAAAAGGAGAACAGTGACATTTGATTTTTTGATATATTGAATGGGTTCATAAATTTTTTGTGGATAGTATTGACATGACTTTTGTGGTATCTGGCCCCCTTTCGCTTATAATGCTTTGACAATTATTTGTCTTTGACTCTTTGCAGTATGGGGTGCTTGCAACCATGCATTTCATCTTCATTGTATTTTGAAGTGGGTGAATTCTCAATCTGCTCAAGCACATTGTCCCATGTGTCGTCGTGAATGGCAGTTCAAAGAATGAACAAAGGTTCCGTGCATCTTTTGCTCATGAATGTGGCAGTAGGAACGGAATGATGTGTCTTGTGTGTGATACAATGATATTCTAGCGATAATTGCTGAGCTGATATGTGCTCATCCCCATTTACGATTACTAATTTAAGCCATTTAAGGCCTAGAATAGATAGTGTATTTTATCAGCAGGTGCAGATATTATATTAGCCATTTATCCCAAAAGTCCTCAATACATCAGTTGCCAGCCATTGATTGAGAAGAAAAGGATATAACGGATGTTCATTTCTGGTCCAAAGTAGGCTGCCTGTCATTATAAGTTTGGCTCCTTTACGACAGCCGCCTCTACCCCATTTTGTGCCCACTTGAAATTGGAAAACAAACATCAATATATTAGTGCCTTGTGACTACTTTGGTCATGTACATAAATTATCATGAACGTGCAGGCATGGGCCTAGACGTAACTGGCATAGGGACAATGTTTTGTTTATGTTCTGTGATATATCTACAACTCAGATATCTTGAGGTGTTTGAAAATTTGATTTCCCAATTCTGGCTTTCCATATTTTTACCCTTTTTCGAAATATATCAGTAATTCCATTAATCTTATGGATTTGCATGTACAATTGCTTCTTGTGAACGGTATATGCTTTTGTGGCTGTGATAGGTATATGTCTGTTTTATATTTCAAATCGATTATCCCAAAATACATTATAATATCAATTTTGGTTTGAAATAGAACTCTGTCCATTATAGGAAAGGAAATCAGTTGTGTAAGAGAGTCTTATTTGCTTCTTTTTATCTTTTGTGGATGATCCAAAGTTATTTGCTTTCTTTTTCTTTCGTGGATAACCCAAAGTTAGGAATATGAAAGAGAAAGTTAAGGTGGATGGCAAAGTAAAATGATTTAGACATAGCACCACCGCTTGTCACTTGCTACTTTGATGATGATTGATATGTGACAGCTATTTTGTCCCCATTTGTGATTTTTCTTTGTAAAAAGAGAAAGTATGACCCCACTACAAAATTAAGAAGTAGTAATAATCATCATAAGGTTGATTTTGGATAAAATCTGACACGTATCAACATATATATAATATTAGATATAATAAAATAAAGTTACAACCTGATACCAGCTGTAACACAATCAACATAATAATCCAATAAAATACAGATTGGAAGTTACATTACAATCCCAAATGACATGATATTATACGTTCATCAAACAATCTATCCACAAGAGAAAACAACCAAAAGCCAAGAATAAATAGAAAAAGTAGCTAGATACTCCATTAGCGAAGTAGTAATAATATGGTCTTCAAATATCCACCTGTCAAACAAGAAAAAAAGAAGAAGGGAGAATTGGATACTGTTTCTATACACTACTATTAAATTGTATGAAAAATATCTTCTGAGCAAATTAAGAGAATGATAAAGCAAATTAGATCCTATTTGGATACTTTTCCAAACCACCAAAAATAAAATAAAATAAAAAATTGAGAAAGAATTACCATATGATGATCACTTGGTGAGGACCCAAATAGCATAAATGATACCAGGTAGCCACCCAAAGAGAGTCAGCAAAACACAGATCCAGAACTCCACCTGTTTTGTTTTCCCAAAACACAAAATATACATTAAAACTGCACAATATCTTTATAAAAAAAAAACCTATAACAAGTAGAAAAAATTCAGGGAAATTGTGTGCAGTAGTTATTTAGTTGGCATATGAATTTGAATTAATCGGACTACAAAATTAAAAAAAAAAGTAAATTTAAAGAGAAGTTAACCTGGCAGTTAAATTTGAGGAAAACACCAAGGGGAGGCAAGATAATGGCCAGAAGAATGTCTATGCATGTCATAGTGTTGTCTCCCATTTTCTCTTCTGATAATCAAATGCTAATTAAACAATCAGTAGGTATTTTGATTAAAACAGGAGGAAGTTGTGGCCACTATATATAGGCTGATAATTTCGTCTTTAAATGCGTTTGCTTCATCATAACTGTTTTCCCTTTAAAAACTTTTTTTTGGGGATCAGTACGAATAGGATTTAGACAGCTAATCCCCATTTAGCACGACACGTGGCAAAAGAGCTTTAATGGGAGGGAGGATGGAGTACTGTTTTCACCCTCTCCATCACATGGGAAGTTGGCGTGACGTTTGGTACTGAAACTAAAAAAAGAAATAATAATTTACATGAAATTGTTTGGGAGGTCTTGATTGTTGAATTGTGGGATAATTTTTCACTCCAGTTGCGGATGGAACCCTAGTTGTTGCTTCATATATGGACATGAGATGACTTTTGATAGGCTACTTTCGATGAAACTTTTAATAATAACATTTTTCTTAATTGTTAAGTTAATTATATTCATATTGAGCCTTATTCTATTTGTTTAATTGATGTGATAGTTTTATATCGATGTCTAGATTTAATTTTTATATTTAAAAAATAAAAATAAATTCTTTGAGAATTACATAGTTAATGATGAATAAGAAACTAATAATCGTCCTCTCAAAAATATGCAACAAAATTAGAACGATACCCACCAAAGAATAACATACAAAGCAAAAAATGATTCAAATTTGAAGAAACAATAAACGTTTAAGAATTGCTAGTTCTGTTCAAATTTGAAGAAACAATAAACATTTAAGAATTGCTAGTTCTGTCTTCCCTTCAATTGACTCCCAAACACAAGTGTGGAATTGAAAATTGAAATTTGAATCTTCTACAAGTGATCGGCCGTGTAGGGATGGGAATGGAATGTGCAGGGTTGGGCAGGTAAAAATTTTAAAATATATTTGAAACATTAAAAATAGATAAAATTATCATTTATCTATTTATTGGTTTCAAAATGCGTTTGTCATCCACTTATTGACTTTAAAATATTGACCACTTCTTTAGTTGTTTTAAAATTAAAATCTTTAAATATTTTTTAAAATACTTTGATGTTCAACTATTGTTATAATTTAATTATTAATATAATTTATAAACCAACCCATTACCCACTCATTACTAACTAAAACTCACCCAATTAATAATCTAATTATAATATCAAAATCGTCATAAACACTACTAAAACACGATAAAATTATAGATTACTGAAAATGACATCCAAAATTATTTAAGTCCGAATCGAAACCCCAATTAAATTGAGGTTGAGCCGTTTATTTAGGAGGACACTTTCAATAGGATTCTCTTTCAATATTGAATTAGAAATTTATGGTTAAAGGTAAAGAAGTAATACATCCCAAATAAATTTATGCACTTTTTAAAAATATAATTTTATAAATATTTATGATTTGTTTTAAAACCTTTAATATATTATTTTGAAAACAAAAATTACATATGAAATAACATTACATAATTGAGACGTAAAAATAAGTAAGATAAACATAGTCAGATTTTTAAGTTTATCGGTAGTTTATATTTAGACAATTATGTATGATAATTTAATTCGATAGATATTTTCTCCTCAAATTTTTTAAAACACTCAATCGGCAGTAGCTTTTCTGTTGTTGCATTAAAGCTAATTTATAAATAATGTGACAGGTTTATTAATTTGGAGGGGTTTAATTAGTTATAGGTGGGTAGTGGATTGTTTTATAAATTATACTAATAAATAAAATTATAACAAATAGTTGAGCGCCACATATTTAAAAAAATATTTAAATAGTTTTAATATAAAATCGTTAAATAAGCGGTCAATTTTGAATCAAAAGATGGATGACAAAGGTATTTTGGGCTGAATAGGTGGGTGGAAAGTGTATTTTTTGGAGCCAATAGGTAGATGAAGGATAATTTTGTACCATTTCCTATATTTTGAAAGTATTTTAGGCCCTTTTCGATTTTTTTAAAAAAATCATTTTCACCCCTTGCAGACTCGCATGGCATGAATCCGTCTTGTATAAATTTTACAAATATTTTTTTATCTAGTTAAGTTAGATACTAAAATTAAAATTTATAAAAAATAGAGGTTAATTGAGAAATAGGTAATACTTGAAAAAAAAAATTTATTGAACTAATTCATTTACTATCTTGAATATTTTACTAATTTTAAAGAAATTATCTTAATAAATAATACTCTATCACTTTTATAACTTACAAAAAAAATTAAAATTAAATTTAAACCCATCTAAAATTACATATGCCCGCAACTCACTTCATCCCATACTATTTTTTTTAAAAAAAATCCACTTCAAATCCAACCAACCACGGCCACGTGTGGGCACTAGCCAGTCAGCGATCACAATTTGGTCACGAAATTGCGTTCATTATAACTGGATACATCTGCCGACACACGCTGCTAATATTGCCAACTTGGATACCTGATTTGGATTTCATCTCTATTATTATTTTCTCCGTTTTATATTTTATTCGAGCAAATTAATTTGACATATCTATAAAAAAAAAGTCATTAAAAACGTATTTTATTGAACTAACCTTGCTGACCATGTCTTGAAATATAATTTTATATAGTTATAAAATGTAATAAAATCCTCTTGATTTGTTAAAATAAACCATTTAAATTCCACATATATTTTATTTATATATCTTAAAGAAAAAAGCACCACGATTGTCGCTTACTACTTTGATGATGAAACTGATTGTGACTGCATGCCAATTGTCTACTGTCCTCACTTCCCATATTTATTTTTCTTTGTTTAATATGAAAATAGAAAATTGAGTATCACCATAGATGTTGTAGATAAAATCAAACACGTCTATCGAAATATCCTACCTACCAACTACCAGTAGTTATACTTGACAAGCAACATGTTAAAAAGAGAAACCATAGGAAAATAACAGTACTGACAATTATTGGTATATTCAATTAAAATAACAGAATGGAAGTACACAACCAACACTCTATCCAAGATGGAATACACAAGAGAGAATAGTAGCCAATAAAGAAAAAGGAGGGGATAAACTTAGAAAAAAAATACATCCAAGAATAAATAAAACAACAGCTAGATAATACTCCATTAGGTGGAAATAAAGTGACTTAGTTATGGGCTTCATCACATATTCACCTGTCAAAAACAAAAAAAAAAAGAAGGTAAAAGGGGAATCAGGTGCCTATCAGAAATTGTAAGCAAATTGAGAGAATTTGATCTCATTCCTCCAAATTAAAATGACAGGTTTATGTTTTAATTTACTACCTTTTTTCTCACTTGGTCAAGACCCAAACAGCATAGACAATACCAGGTAGCCATCCAAAAAGAGTCAACAAAACACAGATCCAGAACTCCACCTGTTTTGTTTTCCCAACACAAAAACATAAAATTTGAGTGTTTTTATCTAAGTAGTAGAAAATTAATTGCGATGATCACGACTAGAAGATATTATCCATATACTAGTGAAAAATACAAATATCTAAGCGCATAAATTGATCTAAGACACTAAATCAAAGAAGGGGGTACTACCTTGCAGCCAAATTTGAGGAAAACCCCAAGAGGAGGCAAGATGATTGCCAAAAGAATGTCTACACATGTCATTGTGCTGTCTCCCATTTTTCGATGATAATCAAAGAGTACTAATTAAACAACAGATTTAGGGATGTCACTGAATTTTGAAATTATGTGGAATTGGATGCCCTATATATATAGACTGATTGGTATTTCTCTATCGAGGGGCTAATTCGGTATTTTCACTTCGTTTCCTTAAACGCGTTTACTTCATTAATAATTGCCTTTTTTTTTTTTTGGTTCAACGGTTTTTAATTTTGCTTTTGGGGGATGAAGACGAATTCGATTTGTACAGCTCATAGCATTTAGTGGTGCCACTTGGCAAGATGGATTGTCATGTGGGACCATTATCTACTACTTCCTTAGTCCATTTTCATGTGTTTTGAAAGTCAATTTAATTATTTTTTAATATTAAATTAAATTATATTAATTTGATATTATAAATAAAAAATTTAGATATTAAAAAATGATATGAAAAATATTATAAATTGTAATTTTTTATGATTAAAAATATATTTTAAATATTAGTCAAAATTTTTATGATTTAACTATAAAATAAAAATAATGACAAATAATTATGAAAAAAAAATAGTGGTTTCTTACATCTTGGAAAATGACAACAATTAATACTACTACTATTTTTTTGTTGAAGAATCATTAGAATAGGAGGGAGAATATGACCTATTATAATTATTTGAGATGAAGAACTCTACAAGTGTGAGCTTGTAGAATTATGATATATTTTATATATATATTACTTATCAAGCGACAATTTCAAAATAGGATAAGTACAAGCGAAATATTTTGGAACCAAAGCGATATGCTGATAGAGTAACTACTAGCAACTGAATATCATTGGCTCCAATTTTAATGCGAATGTTGACTGTCAATATGAATTTGAGTCTAAATTGAAAAAGCACTATATATTTTAATTTAAACATGATCCAATTTCCAAATGAATTAAAGAAAAAAGTAAAATGCCGTTGGACAATTTTAATCACTTCTCCAAAACAAACAATTGGACAATCCCCCGAGATTCTGGGTTCAAATTCAAAAATTTTAACTTGTGGGGTGATTTGATTATTGAAAGGGCCCTTTGGTGATAACTAATTTGCTCAGAACTATTAAGTTTTTATTTGTTAATAGCAAAAAAGTTTAGCCCTTTACATATTTGGAAAAGTAAAAAAAAAAATCGATCATATTTTAAACTGATGACGATATTTTCCCAATGATCATTTTCTTGGCCAATTATTCCTTTTTCATTAAAATTTCTGTTACAGTAGTCATTGTTTAACATTTTTGACCAATTTGATTACCAAATAAAGAAGAAAATCATCTACCAGCAACATTTGACAACATCTAGATACATTTTTCATACTAATAAAATCTCTACCTACCCATTTTGAGCCCTCCTTCATTCGCATAAAAAAGAACAATCATGAAATTGGAGAAAAAGGTCTTTTTTTTTCGTAAAAAATCAACTCAAAATTTTGTTTTTTAGTTATTGGAGTCAGTCACCATACCTAATATATAACAAAAACTATACATTTAAGTTCGTTTTTGAACGTGTACCTGATAATGCATTATGTGTCTTGAAAATACATGAGTACTTTTTTTTCCCGGAATGATGAAATACATACATTGTTGAAAAGAAAAAAATAAAAGGTTCTCCACATGGTCAACTAGCTGTAAGAACCAAATTGTCGAAACATGAAATAAAAGGTTGATGGAAAAACAACTCATACAGATCAGAATAAGAAAAAAGCTGATGGAAAGAAGAAAAGACATTAATAATATTTGTTTCTTTTATCAATTTATATTTTTTTCTATGATTTTTTTTCTTCCACAAATTAAGCAGCTTTGCTTAAAGCCGGGATCCAAGGTAATTAAGTTGCTCTATCGAAGAGAAATCAACTTTCAAATTTAAAACTTGTCCCACAATTAATCTGGATTTTATTAAACATGAAACATTCACTATATCAAAAATGAGTTTTAATGGCAATTAATTAGCAATTATCATTAAATATGTATTTTTAGCGGCAAGTAACACTCTTTGTATATGTTCCTAAAAGCTTTAGCGACATTGAATCTAATGACATTTAATTAATGCCGGTAAAGACTTTAGCACGCTTTATCAAGATGTCTTTTTATTAGTGCTAAAAGTTATTTTTGTTATACTGATTGCAAGTGCCCAATTGTCCAGTATTAAATAAGCGATGAGAATATAATCAAATTATTAAAATGTGTTTTTAACGGATTAAGTTTTTAGATGAAATGCTCACAAATTTCACATGTTAAGTTATGAAAAAAAATTAGATCAGCTCGTAAAGGATCGTGTTAAGAATATAATTAAATAATATAAATATGTTTCTAGCTTATATTTTCACAATAGATAGTCACAAAATTAAACAATAAATGCGTTTATACGTAATTTTATCATTCCTTTAAATCCAAAACAAGATTGGAAAAAATAATTTATGATAAAACAATTTATATAACTCAAATTATTTAGCTTACGACAATAGATACATGGAATCAAAATACCTAACTCTGATTTCCTTTTGTGGTTTCCACCAAAATGAAGATATTTCTCCACCTCATAAATCAAATATTTACTTTTCTTGAAATGTAATCGTGTACAAGTTCATACCATCGACATTCTCTTCGTTTTTTTTTCATTTTAGCACATTCAAATTGACAGCGATTTGATACTCAAATCATCAAATGGAAGTCAATTTTTCTTGTCACGAAACGTAAATTACGTATATTATTTAACAGAAAAAGGAAAAAAAAATGGTCCTAGTATTAGTTGAGGGCACGTGACAGATTAATTAATCCCCCGCTTCTTTTTATATATCACCTTTTTATTTATATTTGAATTAAAAAAATAATATAATTTTACTCTTTTATTCTTATTTAATTTTTTTAAAATTCATATTTTCAAATGAATATGAATAAATTTATTTTGATTAATTAATTTAATTGATAAATATAAATTATTTACTTAATTTTTTCTAAGTTGATCAAATATATATTTTTAAACTAATAACTTACAAAGGTAAAAAGAAACGATAATTCATGTATTAATTTTATAAAGTGACAAATATTATAGATCAACTATTTATAGAAAGAAATGATATATAAAAAAAAACGGAGAGACTAGTAATTAGTGTTGATTTATATATGAGCCGTCACCCCACGTGTTGGAGGATCATATTCCACGTGTGCCAGATAATAAACCCATGTTTGCTGCCAGACAGTTTCTTCTTAATTTGCTAACAGAATGTTATTAAATTCCCAAAACCGGTTTGGGTATGAAATATATATAGCCTAAAAACTTATGGTCCGTTCAATTCACTTAAATTTTTTATGTACAAAGTACAAGATAATTTTGTATCGAATTGATTTTTAGTCTATTTAACAAAGAATTTATTTTTAAAGCTAACTCCATTGTTTAGACTGAACTTTTTTTATAAATATAAATTAATATCGATTTGATTATTGTGATAGATAAAACGTGCTAAATAAAATAGGAGGGTTTAAAACCGACAAAAATAAAAAAGTAGAAACTAATTAAAATGAATTTATGTATAGTTAATATGAGTTGATAATCAATTTTTTCCTAAAAAAAAAATAGTTGGACTTATCAGTTAGATCATAGATGTTTTATTGGACCTGAATCTCCTCATGTATAGATCCTATTTATTATTAAAAATTATTAGGACTTATTATTGGACCTGAATCACCCCTCATCTTGTCAACGCATGTACTCTTCGTCCCGTTTTATTTTACATGCCACCTTTTAGACTTGACGCAATATTTAAGAAAAAATAAAAAACTTTTAAAACATAATTTCATTAATAGTAAGATAGAAACTTTAAAATTTAATCATATTAAGATGAAATTTTTTTTTTGTCACGAACTAAAAAGAAAAAAATTGTATCATAAATAACACGATATGGATAGGTTGGCCCTTTTTGCCTTTACCAAGGAGGTTAGGTTTATCTCATTGGGATTGTCTTGAAGAAGATGTCAAAAAATAATAACGTAACATGAAATATAGTACTCTATGTGGGTATTAATGAAGAATTACTAATTGAATTGTGGTCGTGTTTGCATGTAACATGACAATATGATGTCGGTCTACGTTTTACGCAACATCAAACTTATAATCCGTTGGCTACGGCGTAAAAAGTACAATACCTTCACTTCCCCCCATGTGAACATTATGGCCTAGCTGCACCACTCAACAACGTAACTCACAAACATTCCAAACAAATTTAAGTCAACTCTAACTAATTACTCAGTCTGTTCGTTCATTTTTATTTATCACACGATAATAAATATTTATAAAATAACAATTTTTATTATATAAGTATAACAAGTTCAACGTTTTAAGAGATGATTATAACTAATAAAAAAAGTTAATTGAATATTAAATAATATACTATGTCTTGATTTTTAAAACATGCAGATGAATGTTTCTTGTATGATGCTGGTCTGGGTGTTGCATGTCTTGGACTTTAATGAAACTTACAAACATTAATATTAATGAAACAAAGTCAACTCTAAGTTAAATAGGAGTAGTAAGCTTAGCATATGCATTAATCATTAATGGTGTGTCTTGTAAGCGTTTTATTGGGGCTGACTACATCGATCAAGCTGATCACCGACCTTGTTGCCGACCATTTTCTCATCACAAATTTTTATTTTTGTAATGTTAGATTAACTTTAAATAATAACATCATAATCCATTTTAAATTACTAAAAGCAACAACTTTTTTCTTTAAATTTTTCCAAGTTTAAACTAGAAATTTATTTGGATATGCTAATGATGCTAAATGAAACAATGGATTGATTTAATTTATAGATTTTTTTTAGTGTCACCAATTCCCAATTGTTTTAAAATCGCAACAATATCTTCTTATTGTTAAAGAATGACAAAAGTCCCATATCGATGCTTAATGAGATGGGTGGACTCCTTATAAAACTTGGGCAATCCTTCTTCTTTTGAGCTAGCTTTTGAGGTGTGAGTTAAGCCTAAACCTAATTTATACATAATATCAGAGCAAGCTCTACGTGCTAAGCATTAGGCGTGA